AGTTCCCTCACTGTGTCTTTGGTGATATCCCCCATAGCACTGTGGGTTAGTAAGGGGACGTTGTGTCTCCTGGTGAGACTGACCCTACTATGGTTCTCTTTGTGCTTTGGCTGCTCCGAGCAGGAATATCGTCCTCAAACTTGGTGGGCCAGGATATTCTCTCTCTCTCTCTCTCTCTCTCTCTCTCCCCCTCTCTCTCTCCCTCTCTCTGTCTCTCTCTCCCTCTTAGTTTGCTCCCGTATGGTCTGGGCAGACCTGCCACACTCCCTGACATACCGGCATGAAGCAGTGAACTAACTAACAGGTCTGTAGGACCAGGCCCTATCCCAGCTATATCGACCCCCCTCCCCAGAAGAATGCACTACAGAGGGTAGCACTGAAAATCTTTTTTTTTTTTTAACTCAGAAATCTTGAAAATGCTTTCATCTTTCTCCAGTGCTTACATTAATACATGTTTTATATAGGCAGACATCTGATCGATTAAACCTTCTTCTGAGTAAACATCTATTTGTAACATTTTCTGAGACTATGTAAAGTTTTCTTCCCACTCATGCATATCAATGCAATTGCACATATTTTTACACATTGATACATTTTTTTCCCTTTGAGTACTTTTGGCCTCAGTTTACTTTTGCTTCAGATAATAATTTACTTAACTTAAATGCTTTGTTTTAAAGAAAATCGCAAAAAAATATACTGTTATTTTTTGAATGTCTTTATGTAAAGAAATATATAACAACCTGCCATATAACATTTCTTCAAAGAATCGAGTCAGTTCTTATTCCTCTCATTCCTTTGTTTACACACTTCTTCCTCTATTTTCTTTCTGATTATAAATTACTGTTTCTAAGATTCTGTTTTTCAAGTGGTGCTTCACAGTCATTAGAGAATTATGAATCAGTTTGCTCAATATCTTTTTGTAAAGGATTAAAATGAAAGAATATAGAACGTATCAAAATTACTACATAGTAAGGGAAAGTATGTTACAGATTTATTGTTGCTATTTATCTTATGGATTTGTGAGTACTGAGTCACAATGTAAAATATATTTTACTGTGGCTTGCTGTTTTTAAAAAGTTTGAAAACCAGTGTTCTAGAGTGTTTCATCTATTAGTGCCTTGAACCTAATGTTCTTTAAACATACATGTTGGTTAGTTGCTACATAAATATTTGGATAAGATTTTTAAAACTAGAATTCTGTTTATGTTTGGTATCTTGAGGCTGATCTCCTTGGCCAAAGACTACATCAGTGGAAAACCTATAGTGTTGACAAGTTTTACAAAATTACTTTTATAACCTGCCTTCTACATAATTTTCTATTTGAAAAACATTTTTTTAAAGATTATGTTTTCCCCTTAATGAAGTTTACATTGATTTTCACTGGTTTTTATCCCTTAGAAGTATAGGAAAGCATACATGTGAGAGAGAGATTAAAAATAGAGTTGGTCAGTTTTAAAGAAAACAAGGCCTAGCAGCAACAATTAAGAGAGAAAGAGAACGAGCCTTGGAGCCAAGTTGTTTCAAGTATCATCTGGAAGCAGAAATATTTACCATAGGATTAATTGTTTAGGGTAAGAGAAACTGGAATGTACCACTTGCTTCCTTTAAAACATCCCTCCTTGGTGGCAGTAGAACAAATCACAGTTTAATAGATGTTATGACCTTTTCCAAGCCATGGCAGTTCTTATACCTTTACTCTCTGAGCAAGAATAAAATGTTTCCAACACTGAGTACTACTGAAAAGCTGGAATTGGCACTTGAACTATTCCTAGATCTGGGTTATGATAAGAGCCTGGGCGTTAGAATTAACAGACCAAATTTAAATCCCTTTCCCAGCACTTGCTCCCTATTTGACCTGAGACAAGTTACTCTCAATGGCTTTTTTCCTCATCTGGGAAATGGAGACAATAACACCTACCTCATAGGGTCACTATGGGTCTGCATCAAACTTGATGGTAGTGGCTCATATGATTCTGAGAAGTAATTGAGCTAAGGTATATAAAGTTCACAGACCAAAGGCTAGCACACAAGAGCTCAGTACAAAGAAATAGGCACTTGCATTGTGAAGTTAACCAAAACAACTGTAAAACATATCACCTCAAAAGACCTTTCAGATAGTCCTAGATCTTGCATGCTGTGATCTGTCCCACAGCAAGGCAGTTAAGGACCTTTGATTTGATGTAGTATCCATCATTGCCCAGAGATTTTCTAACAATAATTTGGTGTTCCTGACTTTAGTGATGGAGCATTATAGCATTCAAAAACACCTTAATTATACAAAACCTCATTTTTTACATTCCACTCACACCAATAAGTTGCTTTACCATCAAATGTAAATTTCATCAAATTGTATGATATAGTGTTTAAACATATTCCATGAATTTTTATGTTCTGTAGTAAAATAATTTTGGTAACTCACAGAATGTGGTAAGTGAGACTGATGTTAGGAAGTAGAATTAAACTCAGTCTTAACGTGTTTTGCAGAAATAATTTAATAGAGTGAATTAATATTTCCAGGAGCTGAATTACTAATACAAAAACATTCAGTGCTTATACATAGCTTGTACAGACTACTTGGGAACAAAGCAGCTTCCTTTGAATCCTGTCAGTGTTCTCCAAATTCTATAGTCTAACTGTTTTCTCTGGATTCTGTCAGGAACACTACTGCTAGAGAGAAACACAGACAGTAACTTCACTGGGTGTAACTGCAGTTAAGAGAGAGGACTGTTATCTCTGGACATTTCAGGAAGTGAGGTTTCTAATGTAAGGTGGCCAGATTTTAACATTGGTAAAGCGGGACAAAGGCAGGACACCATTGATAAAACTCATATCCTGGTGAAATAGCCACATGGCAGCCGAAAAACCGTATACTCTAACTTGTCGTGCATTCTTTCCAAAAATCGGGACTTTTTAAAAACGCCACGGGACACAGGAAAAATTGTTAAAAATCGGGATGTCTGGTCACCTTATTCTAATGAGAAAGTAGCCTTTACTTTTTCCTTTCTGAGTTGTGTAGATAACTGTTCTGCTGGGGTTCTGAGGTTTTAAAAAAAATCTCTGTAGAATTAGAATTTCAGGTTCACAACAACTCACAACACACCCACACAGAGCCCTTAGCTTCCTACATGAATGAAAAAGGAATATTTGAATGTTTTACATTGAGTTACACGCTGTTATAAAATAATTTTTCCCACCAGTAAAATGTCACATGTATAAACTAATACTATTTTGCAGGATGGCTTTTCTGTCACCCAAGCACATTCTTCCCCCCCCCCCCATGAGTGTGTGTGCGTGCATGCGTGCCCACTTCCATTTCTCCTTCCCTCCTTGTACACCCCTTTTGCATTTTCTATACTTAGCTCAAAACAACAACTGGAGAAAGGAATGTACTGGGTCCATGATTTCCCTTTCTCCATGCTGCCTCCTGCCAGTCACCTCTTCAACACTGGAGGAAGTATTCCTTTCATCAGCAGGGCTGTTACTCGGTGCTGTGTCAGTGCCACGCAGTGCGGTCTGTTGCTAGTCTGCAGTTTCTTAAAAGCACTGAATATGACTGAGCATTAGAAACTTTTCTTACACTTTGATGTTGTCGTGACATCTAAGTACATTCTTTTGTATTTTACATAAATACTGTCAACAGTACATTGGAAATTAAGAAAAGAAAACCCTTTCTTGTAGATAACTTGAAAAGCACCGAGCCATCAGGCATCAAAGACTCAGAACAAAAAAACCATATCAATGGGAATGAGGGAGAGTGCAGCGTAGGGACCAAAAGCCCATCTGTAGACAATTGGACATCCCCTTATAAAAGGGTCACAAGGAAGAGAAGAGCCAGTCAGGGTGCAGTATAGCACCAATGAAACATAACAACTTTCCTCTAGTTCTTTAATGCTTCCTCCTCCCCACTTCCCCCCACCCCCCTCAAAATCTGGCTATACCAGAGCATGTCCACAGGTACAGATAAGAGCTGGAAACACAGGGAATCCAGGACAGATAAATCCCTCAGGACCAATAATGAGAGAGTAGCGAGACCAGGCGGGTAAGGGGAAGATGGGGAGAAAAGGAGGGAACTGATCACAATGATCTACATAGAAGGGGCCCCTCTCAGGGGGATGGGCAACAGGAAAGTGGGTGAAAGGAAACATTGGTCAGTGTAAGACATGAAAAAATAATAATTTATAAATTATCAACGATTCATGAGGGAGGGTGGGCAGAGGAGGGAGGGACAAAAAAAGCGCACTGAACTAGATGACTTCATCTTTTAACACATGCAGTCCCAGCTGAAGGGTGGAGGACCATGAAATGACAGTTCGATGAGCTGTAGCTGGCTAGTACTCAGTTGTAGCAAAGCCCAAATGAATTTGTTTCCTGGGCATCAAATCAAGAATTATCCTAAGCATGAATAATAATCATGATAATTAAGTAGATCATAGCTGTTCTTTTTATTTTTTACTAACTCTTTGTTACTTTCTTTGAGTTGAAGTTCCTTCTGCATAAATTAAGTAGTCTGATAACCCAAAATTTCCCTGGGAAACCATTGAATCATTTGCAAAATGTAAGACCTTGTTTCCCTCATGTGGTAGAAGTTACATCCTATAGCATGTCATAGTCTTGAAATGCCACTGATGTTTGGCTCAGCATGCAAGTGGCAGGGAGCGACAAGAAGAGAAACTCAAGGATGATACCACTTGTGAAACGTTGCCATCTAGATGGACACCTTAATTTTGGATATAATGACCATTATAAAATGACCGTTAAAAGTTGAATTGGCAGTGATGGTGTTATAAGTAAGCACAAGTTTCATTAGCTCTGTCAATCTCAGTTTCCCATTTAGCATGATTAAGAGTTTTACAAAAGTTTTTGTTTGTTTTTTTTGAGAAACTACTAAAGTTACTACTGTTATTACTTGAAAGAAAAGAAAAAAAAATTCTGTTTGTGAATTTTGAGTAAGCTATTGAACTTGTCACCAATGTCTTCCTTTTTTGTGTTTCTTAATACAGATAAGGCAGGGGCTTAACTGACCTGAAGCATGAATTCAGACGCCAGCCAAAATGTGATCACTACTCCTCCTCTTCCCAGCATGCCTCACAAAGAGAGATACTTTGACCGCATCAATGAAAGTGACCCAGAATACCTTAGGGAGAGGAACATGTCACCGGATCTACGACAAGACTTCAATATGATGGAGCAGAGGAAACGAGTTACTCAGATCCTGCAAAGTCCTGTGAGTTGGAACTTATTAGAAGAATGTCTTTTTTTTTTTTTTTTTTAATCTTCCTCTTTGGGAACCTTGATGTAATGAAGTAAGGAGTGTCTGTAACAAACAACCCTCTGGTTTAAAGAGAGGAAAGGATCAGTTGCTCCTGGTCCTTCGTAGGAGAAATGAACCACCTAATTTATGTACGACTTTCAAATAACTAACATCATTTTTGGTACTATATAAGTTCTTACTGTGTTTTCTGGGAGAACAAAAAGTGTTACTGAACTCAAGGACACCCAATTTGGAGTAAAAATCTGTGATGAAAAGAAAGGTATAACTGAAGGGTAAAGGTTCAAGAAATTAATTAGGTCCGTCTCATACACATAGATGCCTTCTTCCTTCCTGTACCTTGACAGAAGCATTTTAAAAATATTGCCATTAAAAACAAAAACAGGAAAAAAAAACTGCCATGGAGTGAATTTTGACTCATAGCCACCCTATACGACAGAGTTGAACTGTCCCTATGGGTTTCTGAGACTAAGCCTTTACAGGAGCAGAAAGTCTCTTCTTTTTCCTGCAGAGCAGCTGTTGGTTTTGAACTTCTGACCTTGTGGTTAGCAGCCTAACTCGTATCCCACTATGTCAGTAGTGCTCCTTTTTTGGCAGGCTAGTGGTACAAATGCAGCAACCTAATGGTTAGCAGTTCAAACTCACCCAGTGACTGTGTGGGGTCAGGGAAGTGTGATCAACTACTTCTGTAGGGATTATGCCCAGGAAAACGCTATGGAGTGGTTCTGTTCTTTAACACATGGGGTTGCCTTGAATTGGGAGGCTGGCTGAGTGGCAGCTAACAATAAAACGTGTTACATACACCTATCCAAGCACACACACCAGAGAAGGAAGTAGATTAAAAATGAATTTTAAACTTAGTAACACAAGCTGAAATTTTTATCTGTCTAGCAATGTTCAGATTTTTTAAAAGAATATATTAATTGCAGTAGATGTCAATGGAGGGCATATCTGATTTCCTTTGGCTTTTTTGGTGCCACAGACATGCCTCTATGGTCCATACTTCATTACCTATTCTCACACCAACTGTTCTTCCCACACGACTCTACATCTGTGCTGGGTTCAATAATCCATTGCAATGGGCAAACAACTCACAGAAAATACTCCCAGTTAAGGAGGCTTATTAGGGAAGTTAATGGGATCTGCACACAGTAAGGATATAGTCGTTGGTCTCCTCAGCCAATATCCAGGTGTCTTCTCTCTCCAATTCTCAGCCTCTCAGCCACATGGTAGCCAAATCTCTCTCCAGTTCTTTGTCTTTTAGTCACATGATCCCTTGGCTTTTGCTTCCATGGGCCAGGAAGTCAGACCACCTATCACTCTGTCCTGCAATGCAGTAGTCTCAGACCAGGTGAGGAGAAGGTACCCTATAGTCTGCGCTTCTCCTCTGAGTCTCTGAGCCTCAGTCTGCAATGCTTCTGGTCTTGGCAGGCTCAATCATGTGGACAGAGATTTTGAATGTGCTTTCCCAAGGTCCTTGGGGTTTCTCTCTTCTCTTACACTGCTTCAAAGAATGGCTCATCCTCCGGTCAGGGTGCAGTATAGCACCGATGAAACATACAACTTTCCTCTAGTTCTTCAGTGCTTCCTCCCCCCACTAGCACGACCTCAGTTCTACCTTACAAATCCGACTAGACAAGAGCATGTACACTGGTACAGATAAGAGCTGGAAACACAGGGAATCCAGGACAGATAAACCCCTCAGGACCAATAATGAGAGTAGCGAGACCAGGAGGGTAAGGAGAAGGTGGGGTGGGGGGAGGGAGAACCAATCACAATGATCTACATATAACCCCTTTCCAGGGGGACAGACAACAGAAAAGTGGGTGAAGGGAGACAGTGGTCGGTGTAAGACATGAAGGGAAAAAAAGTAATTTACAAATTATCAAGGGTTCATGAGGGAGGGAAGGTGGGAGAGGGGGAAAATGAGGAGCTGTTATCAAGGGCTCAAGTAGAAAGAACATGTTTTGAAAATGATGATGGTAACATATGTACAAATGTGCTTGACACGATGGATGGATTGTAATAAGAGCTATATGAACCCCCAATAAAATGATTTATAAATAAAATTTTAAAATGGCTCATCCTTATAGTCAGGGAAATGATCATGAAAACTGACCAATCCCCCCTATTAGTGTTACACACACCCTATTTACATAATCCCACCCAATCATTTGGGAGTTACAAAGACTTAGGTGGTTGTTGTTAAGGTGCTGTCAGTTGGGTTCAGCTCATAGTGACCCTGTTTTACAACACAACAGAAACACCACCCGGTCCTGCGACATCCTCACAGTTGTTCTTATGTTTGAGCCCATTGTTGCAGCCACCATGTCAATCTATCACATCGAGGGTCTTCCTCTTCTTCTCTGATGTCCTTCTCTAGGCACTGGTCTGTCTGGATAACATGTCCAAAGTACGTGAGATGAAGTCTCTCCCGCCCTTGCCGCTGAAGAACATTCTGGCTGTATTTCTTACAAGACAGATCTGTTTGTTCTTTGGGCAGTCTGTGGTACTTTCAATATTCTTTGCCAACACCATAATTCAAATGCATTGATTTTCCTTTCATCTTCCTTATTTAATGTCCAACTTTCACATGCATATGCGTCATTGGAAAATACCATGGCTTGGATCCAGGCACACCTTAGTCCTCAAAGTAACATCCTTGCGGATTGTGATAAGAGTTGTGTGAGCCCCTAATAAATTGATTTTTTTATAAAATTAAATTTAATTTAAAAAGTAACATCCTTTCTTTTCACCACTTTAACGAGGTCTTATGCAGCAGATTCGAGTAGAAGAGCCATATTAAGACTTGGGTAAAAGGGCCATACTAAACACTTCCACCTCACCACAGTTTTCCTGACAACATGACTGCCATCAAGTCCATGCCGACTCGACTCATCGTAAGCTTGTAGGACAGGGTAGAACTGCCCTTGTGAATTCTGAGGCTATCACGTCTTTCTCTAGTGGAGCAACTGGTAGGAGGTCCCCTATAAGTGATAGAAAATGAGAGAACCACTTGATTTTACATGATTGAAAATGTATAGCAAGAGCTGTGAAAACCCTTAAATTCTCCGTAGCCGATAGTGTCTTAGAAGCAAAATGGGATAGCAAAAAAAAAAAAGTGTTCAAAATGACAATCCATGAGAGAGACAGACAGACTTACTACTACAGAATGAATTCATAGTATTATGCTTAATGAAACTGATGTCCCTTAAAGTAGAGTTCCACACATATACCCAGGCTGGGGTTGTGAGAGGAAACCAGCCTCTAACAACCAAGGGGTTCGTAGCACAATTGTAAGGTTATATAAACAGTATCGTGAAGTCATAGTCGATAGGAGAGAGAGTAAGATAAAGGAGTCAGACACATTTCATGGTAGCATGCTCACCTCAACCCCTCTTGGTGGTTCACGTGGAGGTGGGAGAAGAAGAGGGAAGAGAGAGTATCTTTACTATTTTGGGATGTTTATAGGTAGCCATAAGACATGCGTATTCAGTAGTTACATACGTCACAAGGTGGGTGGTAACCACAGTAATGAAATAATGGGAAAGGGCAGGTATGTAGACTTTCATTTCCCTGTTCCCCTTGCAAGAGCAATTATCTTCTGCCAGACAGAGAGCAAAGAAGGCTAAAGTGTAGACTTGTGTGTAGGTAATATTTTTTTCTACATCTTTGTGTAGTGTATTTGAAATCCTGCTCATTAAATGCTTATGACCGTTCGTTTCCTAGAGCTGCTATAATAGTACCAACACAAATGCCCGGTTTAAAGGATAGGCATTTACCGTATATACTCGAGTATATGCCAACCCAAATTTCAGGCAAGCCACCTAAATTTACCACAAAAGCTGCATTAAAAATGTGCAGGGAAACTCAGCTTATACTCGAGTATGTACGGTACTTTCTCAGAGTTCAAGAAGCTCAAGCTGTGAAGGTTCTTCTGGGCCTCTCTATTTCTGGTAAAGGCCGGCAGCCTCTCTTTCCTGCTGCTTGTAGATGGTCTCACTGGGAGTCTCCCTCTGTGTGTTTGTCTCACTGTGTCTATAAGTCCCCTTAGAAGACACCACTCAAAAAGGATTAATATTGCCGGTAGTCTTTCTTAAACCCCCCCCCCCTACCTACACACACAAACTTTTTTTTTTGTCTCTGATATATTTCCCAATATACAAAGCACAGAAGGGGCGGATGCATAGAGATACTAATTGATGTAATGGCTCTTTGAGGATATGGAGTGGGGGAGTTTGAAACGAACTGAGGAGCAAATGGTGAATAGGGGAGAGGGAAGGATGCGCTGGAACTGGTTGTGGTGATGTATACGCAACTCTTTTTAAATACAGTTGAGCAATGGAAATGTATACTATGTGAATTTTATCTCAATAAAACTATTGGGGGGAAAAAAGGTTAGTGGGTTTAGTACTCATCCTATTCCTGTATGGCCTCATTAACATATATAAAGCAAACCCATCTCCAAGCCAGTTCCTCTTTTCCTATGCTATGCGCCATACCACTTCAACATAACTGTTTGGGTGAGACAATGCAATCCATGTTGTTGTTAGGTGCTGTCGAGTCGGTTCCGTCTCCTAGCATCCCTGTGTGCCACAGAACACAACACTGCCTGGTCTTGTGCCGTCCTCTCAGTGGTCTTGTGCTTGAGCCCATCGACCAAGCCACTTTGTCAGTTCATCTTGTCGAAGGCCATTGTCTTTTTCTCTGCCCCACATAAAAGTGTATAAATACTTCTTTCTGCCATATTGTATAACCCAACAACAACAAAAACCCACTGATTATTGGCTTTTGACTCACAACAAGCGCCCCTATTGGGTGGAGTGAAGCTGTTCTAGGAACTTTTTCGAGACTGTCTTGTCTGTCTTTCTAGAAGCAGATGCTTCATCTTTCTCCCCTGGAGTAGCTCATGTGTTCTAGAGCCTGTCCTTCCATTAGCATTCTAATGCTTAACC